CAACAACAGTTTGTTTCTAATACTACAGTATGTTTTAAAAAAATGTGAAAATTATATCTAGGATTTGATGTCTAGATCTTGGGAACCAGTTGGGGAAGGACAGGGTATGTGCATCACACAAGTGCCACTACCTTTCCTAGGAATTTTAGTCCTCATGACAACCCTGCATAATTGGGGAGAAAAAATAGACAGAAAAATAGGCTTAAGAAAGGTTAATTCCCAAAATCAGATAACAAAGTGGCAAAGATGGCATCCAGATTCAGACCTTACTCGATTCCAAAGACCATGCTTTGATTTTTTTTTTTTTGGTATGTTTATGTCAGGGATGACAAAGGAAAAGCTGATTTGGGAGACGTTTTGTTAACAATTTAAAGCACAAAATTGAAGCATGATCTTAACCTTGTGGGCTTGAAAAGAGGAAAGGTATGGTGTATGGTATGGAGTAGATGTGAACAAAAGAAGTGCAGAACCCAGCTCCAGGTGAAGGGCAGCAGAAGCGCAGAAGAGCCCAGCTCCAGGTGGTAACATGAACTTGTAAGTCTCAACCTAGTCTTATGACTCCCCAGCAATGTTGGGAAGTTTGTTAACACAACTGATTAACAGAGCAGTGAGGGTTATTATCAAGGCTGGTTACTGACGAGAAGAAATGACAGGTCAAAGGAGCTTTAAGCAGACAGCAAGCAAGGACATTAACAGGCTAACCTCTGAGCTTCAAACCTGGTAAGGAATGAGTAAAGCCACAATAGGAGTGATAAGTTAGAATAAAAGAGGGAGGTCAAGGGTATCCTGGAAAGATGGAGTGGGAAGCACCAGGAATCTCTTCCCACCTAGACAACAATTGCACTGTCCAAATCTAATTTGACTATATTGGAACTCTTGTCTAGTAGAGGCTTGCAACTTCCAGAGGAAGGCTTGAACTGTAAAGTGGGGTTAATTTCAATTTCAGGTCTTCATGGAGTAGCAGCTGCCAACCCTCAGCCCCAACCGCAGGGCAGGCTGCTATGCACATCTTGGAGCAGCTTCCACACAGCTTGCGGGAACCAGGGTAAGCAGAAAAAACCCTGTCCTCCAAATATTGGTTATCAATGCTTTCTTTGATCACTGATTGTTACTTCTGGTTACAGAGGTACAGATAAAGAGGAGGGTGGCCATTGTTGCTGCCCCTCCCCTCATTGTTGCAAGCCCCTTCCCCTCCAGCTGAAGTGACTTCCAGGGGAAGGTATCCATTTCCCCCCTTGTTTTTTCTTTTTCCCCTTTTGGGAGCCAGATGCTAAAGACTAGGACATTCAAAAACACCTGCATATACAGGGAAAATTAGAAAGTAACCACTCATGCCCAAGAAAAGGCACAGGCTCAGAGAAGACAAAACATTAAGTTTATACATCAAGCTAATCCTTCACACAGAGACAGTATACAACAATCAAAAATAATAAAATAACAACCCTAGGGAAGGAGGATAATCTGATTGCCAGAGATAACCACGTTATTCAGATGTCCAGTTTGCAACAACAAAAAGGCATTCAAAAAACAGGAAAGTATGGCCCGTTCAAAGGGAAAATAAATCTTGCAGAAAAAGACCTGATGGGGCAGATCTCCTAGAGAAAGACTAAAACAACCATATTAAAGATGATCAAAGAACTAAAGAGGTGGAGAAAGCTTAAAAAATGATGTATGCATGAACTTCCTTATTTTAAAACTTACTACAAAGCTGCAGTAATTAAAACAGTGTTAGTGGCATAAAGACAAAAGACCAATGGAATAGAATAGAGAGCCCAGAAATAAATCCTTGCATATACAGTCCAATAATTTTTGATAGGAGTGTCAAGACCATTCAATGGGGAAATGAGAGCCTTTTCAACAAATGGTGCCTGGAAAACTCAATATTAACATGCAAAAGAATGAAGTTGGACCCTTACCTAATAACATACACAAAAATTAACTCAAAATTGGTCAAAGACTTAAAAAGACTGAAAATTACAAAGCTTAGAAGAAAACAGGGCAAAAGCTTCAGGACACTGGATTTGGCAATGATTTCTGAGATACGACACCAAAGACAGGCAACAAAAGAAAAAAATTAGATAAACTGAGTATCATGAAAGTTTTAAAATTTTGTGCAATAAAAGACATGGTCAACAGTAAAAAACAACCCACAAAATGGGAGAAAATATTTGCAAATCCTGTATCTGATAAGGGATTAATACCACAATATGGAGAGAAGTCCTAAAACTCAACAACAAAAAACAACACAATTTAGAAATGGTCAAAGGACTTAAATAGACATTTCTCTGAAGATAGTCACATGGCTGACTAATACATGAAAAGATGCTCACCATTGCTAATCATTAGGGAAATGCAAATCAAAGCTACAGTGAGATACCACCTCACACCCTGGAGTATGACAACTATAAAAAACAAAACAAAAAGTGTTGGCAAGGATATGGGGGAATTGGAACCCTTGTGCACTGCTTGTAGGAATGCAAAAATGGTACAGCAGCTGTGGAAAACAGTATGGTGGTTCCTCAAAAAGTTAAAACTAGAATTGCCATGTGATCCAACAATTCCACTTATGGGTATATACCCCCAAATAATGGAAAGCAACATTTTGTTTTTTGTTATTTTTTAATTTTATTTTATTATGTTAGTCACAATACATTACATCATTAGTTTTTGATGTAGTGTTCCATGATGCATTGTTTGCGTATAACACCCAGTGCTCCATGCAATACGTGCCTTCCTTAATACCCATTGCTAGACTAATCCATTCCCTCACCCACCTCCCCCCTCTAAAACCCTCAGTTTGTTTCTCAGAGTCCATAGTCTCTCATGGTTATCTACCCCTCCAATTTCCTCCCCTTCATTTTTCCCTTCCTACTATCTTTTTTTTTTTTAACATATAATGTATTATTTGTTTCAGGGGTACAGGTCTGTGATTCATCAGTCTTACACAATTCACACTGCTCACCATAGCACATACCCTCTCCAATGTCCATCACCCAGCCACCCCATCCCTCCCACCCCCCACCACTCCAGCAACCCTCAGTTTGTTTCCTGAGATTAAGAATCTCTTACGGTTTGTCTCCCTCTCTGCTTTCACCTTGTTTCATTTTTTCCTCTCTTCCCCTATGATCCTGGGTCTTGTTTCTCAAATTCCTCATATCAATGAGATCATATGATACTTGTCTTTCTCTGATTGACTTATTTTGCTTAGCATAATACCCTCTAGTGCCATCCACGTTGTTGCAAATGGCAAGATTTCATTTTTTTGATGGCTGCATAATATTCCATTGTGTATATCTATACCACATCTTCTTTATCCATTCATCTGTTGATGGTCATCTTGGCTTTTTCCATAGTTTGGCTATTGTGGACATTGCTGCTATAAACATTGGAGTGCACGTGCCCCTTCGGATCACTATATTTGTATCTTTGGGGTAAATACCCAGTAGTGCAATTGCTGGGTCGTAGGGTAGCTCTATTTTCAACTTTTTGAGGAACCTCCATACTGTTTTCCAGAGTGGCTGTACCAGCTTGTATTCCCACCAACTGTGTAGGAGGGTTCCCCTGAAAGCAAGGTTTTGAAGAGATATTTGTACACTCATGTTCATAGCAGCATTATTCACTATTATAACTAAACTATGGAAGCAACCGAAGTGTCCATCAATGGATGGAGCAAAATGTGGTATATACATGTAATAGAATATTGTTTAGCCTTAAAAAGGAAAGAAATTCTGATAGATGCCACAGTGTGGATGAACCCTGAGGACACTATGCTAAGTGAAACATACCTGTCACAAAAAGACAAACTACTGTATGATTCACTTAGGGAGTTAGAGTAGTCAAATCATAGAGACAAAAAGTAGAATTGTGGTTGCTAGGGGCTGGGGTGGGAACAATGGGGGAGGGGTCTAGTTTAACAGGCATGGAATTTCAGTTTTACAAAATGAAAAGAGTTATAGACATGGATGGTAATGATGGTTGTATAGCATTATGAATGTATTTTTTTTAAGTTGATTTTTAAGTAATCTCTGTACCCAATGTGGGGCTCAAACTCACAACCCTGTGATCAAGAATCGCATGCTCTTCCAACTGAGTCAGCCAGGCGCCCCTCATTATGAATGTATTTAATATCACTGAAATAGATACTTAAAATGGTTAAGATGGTAAATTTTGTTATGTGTATTTTATGAAAATAAAATAGGATGGTGAAAGGTCCAGGGAGCACAATACGGTTGAAGATCCATTTCAGTAAGACCCAATAAATAGAAAAGAAATGTAAAGAACTTCGGAGTAAAAGCTCTTAGAGGTAAGGTATGTCCAAGGAATGATAAAAATTTGCTGAGCAGCTATAGGTAGAAATGAATGTCACTAAAGTTAAGTTTAAAGAAGGATTATAGATAAATGGGAAATATCATATGAGAACCAAAAAAATATATGCTCATGCTTCTGCTGTAAGTTTTAAATTCTATTTGGTAATTTCAGTCAATGTGGTTTGGTTTGGGTGTTAAGTGTTTGGAATAAGAAAATATCAGTACTATCCTCTGCAATCCCTTCTAAATATGTGATTTCTGCACCTGAAATTATGAGTTGTTGAAGTCTCTACATGCTGAGCATAAATTAATTTGGTAATTTCATGGTATTACTCTATTGAAAATATTATGGACATAAGACCTAAATACATAGTCCATCAATTACTTTCCAAATTCTTTACATTATTAGGACCAAAAATTATTTTTTTTCAGATCTAATATCATCCTCCTCTGCCTCAACAAACATGGCAGTTGGACTCTGTCTCTGCCAATAGCAACATTATGCCTTAGCTTGCTTTGATATACATATAGTTAGTAAGTAGTAGTCAAAACTTGTGATAATATAGGACTTATAAGTGATGTCATCATTTTTACAGATTTTTCAAAGGTAGATAGCATGAGTTTATTTATACTCTTCCCTCCACCCACCCTTATCCTACCCTCTTCTCCTACAACACATACATACAAGCTCACCTGTGCATTCTTTTATAGGCTTTCTGGTGATGTGTATATTACAATATACTACAGCATTGCTACTCAAAGTGAAGTCCAGGGATCTGCAGTGTTGGCATCACTTGGGACATTGTCAGACGTTCAGGTTCTAGAGCTTCACACCAGATCTTCTGAATCAGAATCTGAATTTTAAGAAGGATCCCAGGTGATTTGTATATACATTAAGCTTTTAAAACACTGTACTAAAATACTACAATTCCCCACATGCCTTGACTTAGACTCCTTATCTTTCAAAAAGCTATCAACTCATTCATTGGGCAGTTTTTCCTCCCTTCCTTTTGGAATGTACTGCTAATCCAATGATTCTCAAAGTGTGGTCTGAAAACTTCAGAGGGCCCTTAGAACCTTTCGGGGGGTTCACAAGTTCTTCCCTTTTCCACTAACACAGCTGTGTGAGGCTAGATTGTCATCAGAACTTCAACCAAAACAACATAATACAACAGATCAAATACAGAGATACAAAAATGCAGCTACTATTACGTGTGATGTAGTTATTTACAAAAGTGAATATGATGCCATTCTATTTTTGTTTTGGAAAATACAGTTATTTTTTTAAAATGTTATTTCTGTTAACATGTTGTTATGGAGTGCAGGGTCCCAAAATAAAAAATAGAACCACTGGTATAATCTGTCAGTGAGAAAACAGGCTCCAATATGACATTTCACTTACAACTTTATAGAAACAGTTATGTAAATTGAGGGTAACCCTACATCCCTAGGTCACATCCTTTCAGCTATCAATCTGTTTATAATCTCTAAAAATTGGCCCACATTCCTAGTAAGAATCTGCACTTCCTTCTCCTGAATGATGCAAGTAATCTATCTCCTCTTAGATGTTTAGTAACTTAGAGCTTCTTTTTCAAGGGAGCTTAAATATTGAAGAGAAGAATTGACCTAAGATCAACAGGGACTCATAAACCAAGGGCTTTTGATTGTTCTACCTATTAGCATGAGCTAGCATCCTACAACTGATCTTGGCAGAGACTCCTGAGAGGACCATGGTTGTTTTCAGTGGCTACTTTTCAACAAAAAGCATTTAGTTAGCATTTTCCAGCCATGGAGATTCCAGGATCTGTTCCTCTTACAGGAGAGTCCCAGGGTTTGCTTTCTCAAATAGTTACATAGTTTGGCTGAGTCTCTCAGATACTGGACAGCTCAGTATTATTCCCTTAAGATTTCTATCTAAAGGACAACTCAAAGTATTTATCTACCTCTCCAGAGATATCTAAAACATCTTTAGCTCACAAGACCCCTAAAGTTGTACAAAAGGGGTAAGCTTATAATACTGCATGTTATCACATTTCTGCTTTATTTTCTCCACAGCACTTACTACTGTTTATATTGCTGGTAAATGTGTTGTGACTCGCCTCCTCTCCCATGAAAGTCTCCTTAAGGGACTGTGTCTTGTTTATAGTTGTAGCTGCAGGGCCAGGAACAGTGCCTGGCATGTTCATGCTCAATAAATATTGATACTTTATGAATAGTAAACTATAGAAACAGAGCATTAGGTTTACAGTTAACATAAGAGGCTGTCTCCCAGGTGAGAATGTAACTGGAAAGAGAAAGGTATTAGTCTATGGCTTGGGAGGGTCCATATGACCAGGCCTTTCTTGGTTTCTGGCATAAGGAATTCATGGCTTTGCTATTATGTGGGCCTCGGATTGACAGACTAGTTATGGGGAGTCATCAAGGGTAGACACTGGAATGCCAGACAAAATTCTTTACCCTAGGAGTGGTTCCATCTACCTGTATTGGTAACTTTATAGTGTGTGGAAAGCTAAGTATACTGATGATAAACCCTCTTTCAAGTTAGTGGGATGAGAGAGAGGTAGGAGGAGGCATTGATACTAAGGCTAGAAAGTAGGCCTTTAAATTCCATTCTCTCTCTTTGGACTGGTCTCGCTGAGACTGGCATAAGCTAAGGTATGATTTGAAGATAAATACAGCCCTCTAATTTTTCCCCCACAATGCCACATGCAATTAATTACAAACTCTTTTGAGACCCAAAGACTGGGGGTGAGAAGTGGACAAGGACCCTCCTTGTACTTGAAATGTTCTGAATGGAAATTCCCATAGTGAGAACAGATGCTGAAAGGTTAACTATGATGTAGGCCATTTCAGGGATGTGCAGGAAAACCCTAGGTTGTAGGGGGGAAGGAAAGAAGATCTACCATGAGGTAGAAGCAACCAAAAAATCAACTAAAATGTCTAGGGCCATGCTGTCCTCATCTCATCACTCTGTACTGTACTGGGCTGCATCTTGAAGATACCTGTGAAAATGCAGAGGCTTTCTCTGAGTCCAAGGCAGACATAAGGGATGCCCTGGAATATGCTGTGTTTTGTTTAGCTACAACAGAAACTTACAAATTAAATCTTCCTTTTCACTCTATTTGTCATATATACATACCTGTATATTTATATTTTAGTATACTTAAATACCTTATATAAATATATATACTTCAGTAGGGTTTTAGTTGAATTCTTAAGAACCTTAGCAGATTAATGGATTAACCACATAATAGCTCTTCTCAATAAGGTGGAAATACAATATTCTGTGGCATTTGGAAGGTTTTGAGAGCAAATAGAGGCCTCCATTGTTTCTTGCAGTATGTAATAATGGGCATTTCTGTGATAGAAATAGTGTTCTTCAAATAGCCTCTTGTATCTAAGGGATACCAATTTTACTCAGAAGTCATGCTGGGTTCTTAGAGGAGGTTTACCAGATCCTCACTAATTTTCTTAGGAGTAAGTTGGGTAGATGTACATATGGAATGATAAGACAGGCAAAGGAGGGGTCCAGAACAAATTTCCTGCATTTGCAAAAGAGAAGACTGTAGAGAATTTTAGGGCTGTTAGGGGATACTGAGGCATGACAGAAAAAAATTTAAAAGCAAAGTGTTTTATTAAGATGTGGAGAGTGAGACAAGTTCACAAGATCAGAACTGAAAATAATAACTACATTCATTTTGTCTAAGCTGAATTTTTTCTCCATTTGTAAAAAAGTTATAGTAAAGGAACTGTTGTGGAATTACAAATATATAAAGCAAGACATTTTCTAACTACCAGGTTGCCAACATGGTATGGAACAGTTTGCATCCTTTCCACCTGTTTTTTCCCTGTGATCTCCTTTATTTTTTTTCTCACTTTGTTTACAGAGCAGAGTACTATTTATATTACTAAATAATTCTTCTTTCTTCTTTGAGGGCTCCTGAAAGATTTTCTTTAAAATAACACGTTCTTCTGAGCCTGGGTGGCTCAGTTGTTGAGCGTCTGCCTTCAGCTCAGGTCATGATCCCAGCGTCTTGGGATCGAGCCCCACATCAGGCTCCCCGCTCCGTGGGAAGCCTGCTTCTCCCTCTCCCACTCCCCCTGCTTGTGTTCCCTCTCTCACTGTGTCTCTCTCTATCAAATAAATAAATAAAATATTAAAAATAAATAAATAAATAAAATAACATGTTTCTCTCCATGTGCATTATGTAGATATTTAACTACTTGACAACAGACTGGAGAAGTAGGGATGAGGGGGAGAAATTTAAAACCAAATCTACTGCCAACTGAAAATGAATCAAAAGTGGAGAAAAGAATTTTGAATTTTTGATATAAGTGAATGGAAAATAATTGTTTTAAGAAAATCTAATTGATGCAATTTTGCAATGCCATAACACTTATAGTTCTTTTCCTCACATTAGACATGTTCAGAGTTGGAGAAAAGCACGGTTTTAGTGAATACATACTTGATCTAATAACTTGTGATTTGTCATTTGCACATCTTGTCCATCATCGTATTCAGTATCAGTAATCTGAGCTGCGAGGTTTAACTGATATAATTAGTTCTACATGACACAAACACTACTACAGTGTCACTGATATTAGATAGGGATAGTACTTTCATTTTAACTTGAGAAGTAAACAGTGTTAATATTCTGGCTTCTTTCTGGTCTTTTGAATAATGAAATTAGTTTTAAAAGAGTGAGTTGGCTCACATATATGTACAGAGGCCAGAAATCTGGTAAAAGGTTCAGTGCCATCAGAATTTCACTTTTATGCCACATACCATTATTGAACTGCACACTTACTAACTTTCAAATACAATACCTCACAATCTTCCAATAATTTCAGTTTCACTTTGATTTGGATGTTTGAGAGTGCATTTTATATTAATACATAAACTTTATTCATAATTTATAATCACATAATAGATGAAAAAATGGCTTTTTTTAAAAGATAGTTAAAACAAATTTTCACAGGAGCCCCTGATCATACTTTTCATTGTGCATATTTATTGAACAATCAATATCCCCACACTTAACGCTGAAATATTTGTTATATAGAGAATCACAGAGCAACATTAAAAAAATATTTTCAGCACTATTCTTCTGTGTTTTCAGGAGTATATCTGTGTCAATTGCAGAACAGTATATATGGTCTCTTTTGTCCCTCATGTTAAATTAATCAAATGGTCTTCCTTCTCCATCCTTTTTAAAACAGCTACTTTCAAAGCTTGACAGACATTTCTTTGTCATTGTAGTAACCCAGTGAGCAGTGGAATAGTAGTATGGGAAGAGATCCATTTCTATTCCATATTCTAATTTGGTGTCCTTTGGTCCTTTGTAAATGTTAATAAGGAGTTGCTGATATTTTAAAAGTGTGACATTATTAAAGTTGGTATGTTTAAAATCCGTAACTACTAAGTAAAAGAAAACTGATAAAATAGAATACACCTTATTAATGGAAGATTTTCTCCTATAACCAACTCCTTGCACTGTTTTAACTTACGGTTATATAGTGGAGGGCACTGTATTTCTTTTGGTAAGTTACTCAGAACATAATTATATGCTAATATCCTAGACTGTACCAGGCGTTCAGGAGGCGGAAGAATCAGTTTCAGTTATAGCTAAGTAAAATTCGAACAAATACCATCCAAAGTAAAGGTTTTTCCTTTTCTTTTCCAAAACCGACTTATCTTGCTTTCCCGCCTTAGCCGCGTAGAGGCCTTGGGGGTACTTTACGGCAAACTCCACCTCTTCCCAACCTCAGCTTAACGAAAACTCCCCGTCTCAGGCTTCAGAGTGGCAGTACAGTGGGTTTAGGCGCGCGCCTGTCTAACGTTTTGCCCTCCTTCCTACCCAGGGTCAGGAAGCGACAGCAACAAAAATACCGGGCTTCTGTGGCAGAGCTCGGAGGACTCATCGCGCTTTCCCTCCCGCCACTCGCAGCCTTTTCCAGAGTTCACCTTACTTCTCCGCACACCGTCAAACCCTTCCCGCGACCCCAACGTCCAGGGGTTACAGCGTCCCACACCCACGCCAGTCTGCAGCTCCTGCCAATGGCCGGCTTCAGCAGGGCCTACGGCGACTCCTCTCATCTGGCTCTGCGGTCCCACCCCCTTCCAGAACTGCTTCCCGCCCTCCGGGCTCTTTGTCCAATCGTCAGCTAGTGAGTGTTCTTTGGTTCCCGCCCCCTCCCTCCCCGCCCTCCTGAGGTGCCGCCCCCTCCCCCTTAAGGAGGACGGAATCACCTGACCCGGAGGCGCTCCGACGGAAAGAAGGCAAGAAGGGGCGTGTGTGTGGAGGGGAGGGGCGCGAGAAGAAAGGGGGGATGCCGGGAGTGGGGCGGGGAGGGGGGGGGTGTCAGTCCGATCTCGCGAGAGAGGACGGAAGCCTGTGGGAGCCCGTGGCCTTTAAAGTGCGGTTCAGCCCTTTCCTCCCGGGGTAGTTTGTAAACACGGCTGAGCTCGGGCCTCCCTGGCGACCGAGAGAAGCATGAACTAGTGTCCTGGAAAGGTGAGTCGTGATGGGGAGAAAGCCGTAGGGCTGGAGACTGTAGGGATAGGGAGAAAGAAGGCACTAACATGGCGACGTCGCTCACCGTAGTCCCCACCCCCCGCTTCCCATCACTTCGGGCGCTCCTGCCTCAGTGCCTAGCCCTCGGGGCGACTGAGGCTGTACTGCCACCTCAGCGGCTCTCGCGGCGTCAGCTTCGGGAGCCCGACCGGCCGGGCGGGACCGTTAGGTAACTGGCATTCGTTGTTCCGGCCCCTCCCCGCTCGCGCGCTTTCCTAACGAAGAGGAAAAAGGAATAACGGCTCCTCTTAGACCCCTCCCCCCGATTTATCTTCCCCCTTCTCTGGTTAGTTCAGAGGTCTCCGGGCTCCACGTCGTATCCGCGGAGGGCGCAGGGAGACCCCCTTTAGTCCTTGGATTAGCAGGAAGAGGGCCGGCTCTGGTCTCCCCACCCAGGACTCAGTGGTTGGGGACTGTGTATAGGTGATGGTGGCCGGGATGAGGATCGGGAGGCGCAGCAGAAAATAGGGTCAGGGTCTCTGCCTGTGGTGGAACATGATGGAACAAATGGTATGGAGAACCCGTGAGCTGAAAGTGTCGGCCTTTTCTGTCCTTTCTGCCCCCTCACACTCCCGCCACCCCCCACTTTTTCCCGTTGGGGCGGGGCTGAGGTGTGGGTGCAGATTGATTCTGGTATTTTCCCCCATTTTTTACCTCCCTGCATGGACTGCAGAGCCTCTGTAGGGAAGTAACCTGTGCTTTTTATTGATGCCCTAGGGAGCAGGGCCGAGAGATTGTGTGTGTGTATGTGTGTATTTTCTGTGTTAGCTCGCTAGAGGAAGGAGAAGGCGGAGGAGCCAGGGACTATTTTGTGTCCCTAGGTAGTATAAAATTGCCTTTGCTTAAGGGAGAGTTTAAAACTGGTTGAGGCCAAGAGCAAAGCTCCTGTGAATATGATGGAATGAAAGGGATTACACCTCATGGACCTTCACCCTATTGACTAATACCTAAATTATGTGAAAGTTATAATTTCTTGGGAATTTTAAATTATGGAGACTAATAATGCTTGTTTAATATACATACTTGAAATCAAAACAAAAACTATTCCTCTGAGTACACTTTTGGTCCTTTTTGAAGAAACCACTGGCGCTGTCAGTAATAGCCTTTCTAGGTGTAATTTTTAAATAGCCATGTAACCTTGGTCTATTGTACCAAAACTATAAAGGTGATAAGCTTGTTTAAAAAGTCAGCCCTACAGGGTTAAGTGACCTGAAAGACAAATACAGTAGCAGTTACATCTTGTAATTAAATTTGTTACATTGACTTTAGGAATCCACTTAAACACTTTTCAAAACTGCAGGAACATCTTTGTAAAGTGTGTTAAAAAAAAAATAGAGATGCCCTTCTGCAGATAAAGAATTAGAGTTAAGGATGTTCTTGAATCTTTGGTCATCAATAATTGAATAACAAAAATCCTAGTCTTTGTAACGTAATTTATAAGAATCTTACAAATTTATGGTGGTTCATATGCTGCTTTCCTAAGACCTGTTTTATCTTTTTTGAGAGGATTACTGCCATTAAATTTTCAATTATTTGAACCATATTGTAATTTAGAACATAGGTGTTTGTATTTGTCAGTAAGGAAGGAGCTTTCAGGAACTCTTTGTGTGTTTAAGGTACACATGCCTTCTGTAGATATGATTGCATTTCCTGGAAATTCTTTTTAAAATAACCTTATTAGAATGTTTATTTCTCTTTGGGGCACTTTACCATAATCTATTAAATATGTAATCCAGAAATGCCTGTATTTGCTTGGAGTATTTGTTTCATATATTTAAACTAAAATAACAGTACATATTAAGGTTATCATGTCAGCTCTTTAACATAATTTGTAGCAATGCTTTTTCTTGGTATTCAGGATTTGAAAGCTGTCAATATCATTTTTAAAAATGTTATGCTATACATCAGATGTCTACAATAACTAGCATTAAGTCTGAAGAAATAGTCTACATTTTTCCTACCTAAATTTTTGTGTTTTGAAAAAGTTGGGTTTTAATGATTTAGATGTTCTCTGCTGGTAAACTGTTAGATCATGTTAGATCAAATGTGTAGATCTTATCTGTGTCATCTTGAGCAGATAATACAATCTCTCTTTTCAAAAACCCATTGAATAATAATTATTGGATAGTCAACTGATCCTTATAAAAGTCAATACATTTAGTACTTGCTATACTATTCACTGTAACTAAAATGTACTATAGGAAAACAACACATATGCATTGTTGTAGTCAGTAGTTTAACTTAGTATTTCTGTGTTTATCCTTTAACTCACACCTATTCCTTGAGACTAAGGGACTTACCTAAAATACTGCATATTTTCTTAATGTAATTCTTAAGAGGTGTTAACGGTAGTATTCACTATTTACGTCCAGGGGAAAACCCACAAAACATTTTATTTCTTTTGCTCTGTTTCTTGAGCTCAAGATTAAAAAGTTAGAGTAAAATATAATTTCATAAAAATTTAAGGAAGTTTGTGGACCTTTATGGCCAACAATAATTGGAATTATTTTACATGTATTACTATAAATGTGTCCTGTATTATATAATTATAGATACATGTATTTATATATACTATTTTCGTTTATTTTTAACACTCTTGAAATGTATATTCATTGACACTTTTAAGTATGTTTAAGTGATGCTTTTTTTTTCCCCCTTCTTGGCATTTTAGCAGTGGTAGTAGGGTGATTAAAAACATTTTTTTTGTAACAAGAAGGGATGTAAATAGAATGCTTTTGGGGCGAGGCTTAATTCACCCATGTCTGCATTCTCTATCTCAAAGATAGTGATTCTCATTTTTTTCTCTTCATACCCAAGGAATAGAAACTCCTAACAGTAGTAGTAGCTTATTACCGCAGAGATTCTCAACAAGATTAGTAGGGAAAACAGGGTGGGAATGATTAAAATTGGCAAAAAGCCAGTTGGCAAAATACCAAGTGTATTTTGGTTCTTTGGCTAGTAGTGTACATCTTTATCTATAATCTACCTTAATTTACAAATTCCTTAAATGTTCTTTAGTTTGCTTACCTGAATCTAAACTTTTGTCATTCCAACTTTATAGCTTTGTTCTTCCAATTTTATAGCTTTGTTTTTTCTAATACTTGTGTGTGGGCTATGTTTCTATTTACTGAACACATAAAATAGTGTTACTAGAAATCAACTACGAGTTTGCCCTACTGACAAATGACTTTTCATTATTTTTATCACCTTCTAATTTCTGCATATATATTATAGCTTTGACAGAATTTTATCATTAGATACAGTTATGTTTTATTTTTACAGCCTTCGCATTTCCCCATATTGTCTAACCTTGGTGATCAATAATGGTTACATGATAGTTTACCAATTGACCATTAAAATTTCCTCAATTTTAAATGCCCAACAGGAAGGTGATTGTTTTCAGTTTCTATTTTAACATTGAATTGAGCATCTCTATACGTATATATTTTTTTTGAATTGTTTCTGTAGGATACTAATCTCAAATGAAATTACTAGGTCAAAGGATATAAATGTTACTTTATTGCCAGATTTTTGCCTCCTCAAAGAGTTGATTGAGCAAGTTGTCAGAATCTGCACCAGTTTTATCATAATTTTACCAACTTTGGAGTTATGCTGATTAATTAAGTAGGATTGCTTAATTAGGAATTATTAATGGGAATAAGTTGCATTATTTAGCAGTTTTATTTAGTAGACCATATCTATCTGTAGTTATTTGCCTACCAGTGATCTGTGGGCTGGGACAGATAATGTATATTTTATATTTTCTTCATTTCACTGACTCTCATAAAGATTACTGAAACTTGACAGTATAGTAACAGTAATCCTTAAATTTGATGTAGTTTTACATGGTTTACATGTTGGATGTTTTATGTTAGTTTACTTTTATATAAGAGCTACTTTCTGACTTATGGATCTATGAGTTATTAAAAATCATAATGACGTTTGTTTGCAAATAGGTAATCCTTGAAATAAAGAATGTGTATGTTATAGCCACATTGATAGAGTTTTCTTTGTGTTGTCTTCTGGTACATAGTATGTATATAATCAGTGTTTTAGGGTAGTTATTAGCTGGACTGTCATGGGTCTGCCACTTATCATCTGTATCACCTTGGGCAAATAACTCTGTGCTTCAGTTTCCTTATTTTTAAAGATAATACTTAATTCATAGTTTTGTTCAAATAATTAGTGTATATGGAACGCTTAAAACAGTGTCAGGAACTAATGAATACTTAGTATATGGTGTGGTAATTATTGTTAAAGTACATTCAGAAATGATAATAATCTACCATAGCCCTTCCAGGTATGTGTGATGTAGCTTGAAGGCAGGACATCATTCATCTCTTTAGTAGCTTTGGCAGTAAAGTTGAGTTTTCCGTAGGAATTTATAATTTGGGTGCAACTTACTATGTTAGAATTTTCATAAATCATGTGAGAGGGTATCTCCTATTTTTTTGTTCGCTTTCTTCCCAAGTCAGACTTTTTCTATATAAAACTCATGTAGTATAGCATACACATATTTTGAGATGATAAAATTGTGACAGTATGATTTCCATAAAATCTAATTATCATTTTCTTCTATTCCACCAGTTCCACTAGAAACATTTCAGTGAAGCCTTTCATTCCTTTTCATTGTGGAAGAGATGATGATTAAATAAAATACCACATTTCTAATGTTTGTTCTTTTTTTTAATTCTAGTTAGTTAACATATAGTATTAGTTTCAGGTGTACAATATAGTGATTCAGAACTTACATACATAACCCTGTGCTCATCACTACAAGTGCACTCCTTAATCCCCATCACCTATTTAATCCATCCCCCTACACCCCACCCCCGTAACCATCAGTTCTCTATAATTAAGAGCTGTTTCTTGGTTTGTCTCATTTTATTTTCCCTTGTTTGTTTTGTTTCTTAAATTGCACATACAAGTGAAATCATATG